GGTGGTGTGTGTGTGCGCGCGCGTGTGTGTGTGAGTGCTGCTGGCCCCTTTGTTTTATTCCCCTTCTGACCCCTCGTGTCCCCCCCACTGGCTGCCCGCTTTTAGACTCCCAGCAGAGGCAGGTGGGCCTGGAGAGAGGGAAAGGCCTGTTGATCAGGTAACTTAGTGAACGGCTCGCTGCTCCCTGGACGTGGCTCGGGGCTGAAGCCATGAAATGCATCCTGGGCTCTCCAGAGGCTCCCGGCTGGGCCCCTCGCTGCAAGTCTCTGATCGCGCAAGGTGGTCCTTTCCTTCTTCCCAGGGCTGGTTGGTACCATCCCTTCCCGCAGCTCCTCATTCACTGGCAACGCGACACACAGATGACACTGTTGAAGTGTCCATTTCTCCCAGGGGGACTTCTCGGACAGGACTTAAAATTGCTTTGATTAGTTCCTCCACAGTGCGTACATCTGGCCCACGAGAAACCCTCACGCGGTCCCCATGCAGCAAACTGTAGGCGCGCCAGTGGGCCCCAGCTCAGCGGTGCTCTCTGCTTAATGCTCCACTCTCTGGACCCGCCCGGCCCCGAGTCAGACCCCAGTCCGCCGTGCCTCCTGCCCGGTGTCGATGAACATGGGTCAGAAGTCTCTGAGAGGCCCAGAGAAGCCATTTCCCAGGATGGCAGTGAAGCAGGTGGCAGCTCCGGGACAATGGCAGTGGCCCTCTCCAAAGAAATCTCTGCACAATTATTTCCCCATCCACACTGTCCCGCCTTTATAGCCTTGGTCTGGTTGAGAGGTCAAGGGTCATGGATCTAACTCTTCCACATTTTCAGACTTACTGGGATGGCACCTTGGGGTTTCCCCTCTCTCATACCTTGGTGTCTAAGTAAAAGCTTACTTTTAACCCTGGTTACAAGAGTTGATGTGAGTGAGGACTTTTTATGATTTAGACACCTCCCCTCTTCGCCTTCAACATACTCATTCTGTGCTGTGGCAGTGGGCGATCTCCCCCACTCTTTGGAAGCCTGCACCGTGGTAGGACCAATACGTTGACCTCTGTCAGTGTAAAAACCTATTTTTACAAAGGGGTACAAACCATTACAGTTAAGGGAAACCTGAGATTTGGGCCTAGTTCTACCATTGCTTAGCTGTTGTCTCCAGCTCTTGTCTCAGGAGCTTCAACTGTTTCACAAAGGGGTTGGATTATAGGCCACATAGGGTCCTTTTAGCTTTCACAGCCCATGGAGACACACAGTGAGAACTGGGCAGGGATGGGGACCTGGAAGGATATCTGGAGAGTCAAAGTCCTGTCCTCCTCAGCGTGGCCAGAGAGATGGGGATCAGGGCACGGGTCTGGGGAGCAGGAGGATTGCGTGTCATCTGGGAGGTTGGGAGCCAACCTTCAACAGGCCCCCCTCCTCCCCACCAGGCTCATCAATGAGAACGAAGTGAAGCAGTGGCGAGACCAGGCCGAGAAGTTCCGGAAAGNGTGGCGAGATCAGGCCGAGAAGTTCCGGAAAGGTGAGCGCGCTGTCCGAACCCGCTGCGTGTCCCCAGCCCCCTCCCCGCCCGCCGGGACCCACCTCCTTTGGGGGGACGCGCCCAGATCACACTCTCTCTGTGTNACAGGCCCCCCTCCTCCCCACCAGGCTCATCAATGAGAACGAAGTGAAGCAGTGGCGAGACCAGGCCGAGAAGTTCCGGAAAGGTGAGCGCGCTGTCCGAACCCGCTGCGTGTCCCCAGCCCCCTCCCCGCCTGCCAGGACCCACCTCCTCTGGGGGACGCGCCCAGATCACGCTCTCTCTCTCTGTGCCCCCTCCTGCTTCACCCCATCCAGAGCACACGGAGCTGGTGAGCAAGCTGGAGAGGAAGGAGCGCGAGTGTGAGACAAAGACGTTGGAGAAGGAAGCGATGATGCGGACACTCAACAAGATGAAGGACAAGCTGGCCCGAGAGTCCCAGGAGCTGCGCCAGGCTCGGGGACAAGTGGCTGAGCTGGTAGCCCAACTCAGCGAAATCTCAGTACGTGGGCGCTCTCCTCTCCTTTCACACAGATGGGCCGAGGCCTTCAGGATATGGTGGGGAGAGCAGGCGTGGGGAGAGACCCCAGGATGAGGGAGAAGAGAGAGGGGACCGGGACCCCTGAGGCTGTAAGGGTGGCACCTCTGTGTCACTTAGAAAAAATAATGCTGCTTCCTCTGGGTGGCGCTGGCCCAGGAAGCACAGCTTGGAAGCAGAGTGCAGGTGGGCTCTTGGCTCCCCCCCAGCTGGATGCCCTAGTGCAGGTGGTGGCCTACACACTCTGTGTCAACCCTGCTGTTGCACTGTGAGGAATGTGACACTGTTCAGTGTCTGTGTGTGGATGTTTGACACGTGTGTGTGTGTATTGGATGTTTTGGATACAGAGAGAGAAAGTGGGGGCTCAGCGTATGCGGGAGGTGAGAGCAGGGTCAGGGGTCTAGTGTAGACGGAGAATGGGAGTAAGGAAAGGAGCACTCGTGGGGACCTGGAAGGTGTCGTAGCTGATGGCTTTGTTCTTTGGATTTTTTCTGTCTCCCCACAGACAGGATCTGTATCTTCCCCACCTCCGCCTGGGGGCCCACTTACCTTGTCTTCCTCGATGACAACCAGTGACCTGCCTCCACCTGCACCCCCTTTACCATTCGCCTGCTGCCCCCCACCGCCACCACCCCTTCCACCTGGCGGGCCTCCCATTCCCCCTGGCGCCCCACCTTGCTTCAGCATGGGCCTGCCCCTCCCTCCAGACCCCTTCCCCAGCAGTGATGTCTCGCTCAGGAAGAAGTGTGTGCCCCAACCTTCCCACCCGCTGAAGTCCTTCAACTGGGTCAAGCTGAATGAGGTGAGTAGCAAGGAGAGGACAGTGCATCGGTTCTCCTACAGCCGGGGGCGGTCAGCCCCGTTGTTTGCAGACCTGTCTCCTGGTTCTTCCTTTGGTGGGTGTAAGGTAGACACAGTGAATGCAGAAGATGGGTTTGCCGATGACAGGTAGCTCACTGTCCCCTGGGAAGAGCATCTACCCTGGGAGCAGATGGCTTGGCATGTGGTAATGCCTACATGGCCCAAGCCACCTGAGAAAGGACTCTGTGTGTGCTGACGGTTAGTGGGGTAACGTAGATACCAGAGCATGAGCCAAGCAGGGGTGCTTCCTAGAAAGACAAGGGCTGGGCTGGGACGGTAAGGACAGGGTCAGTCTGAGGAAAAGGGTGGAAGATCTGGGCAAAGATCTTGGGCCAAGGTCTAGAGAATTTAAAGATCAGGGCGATGTGGACAGAGGACTGAAATGAGGCCACGGCAGGGGCTATGACACCCTTGCAAGGAAGAGTTTGATGCCATTCAGGAGAAAGGTGCTACTTTTCTAGATGGCTCAGCAGTGAGAGGCCGTCATGATTACTACCCACTAATCGCCCATCCCAGGCCCAGGTGTGCAGTTGGTTCCTCTGTTGACTCGCATGAGCATAGAGCAGAGATGCCCTGGGTCACGTTAGACCCGAGTAAATGAAAGTCAGCTCCAACCTGGGTCAAGCCCTGCCTCTGGTTCTGCACTGTGTCCTATTAAGAGGACCAGTGACTTTGTCCCTGAGATAAATACATATAAGGCAATTGAGTTCAGTTGGCCTGACTCAGGCATACTTCAACAACAGACATGCCCGGCGCTGGGAGCAGTAGGTGCCCTCTGACCTTGCTGCATGGGCTGGTGGACTCTCTGGGCGAATTCGTAACTGTACCATTCTATGTGAACTTAAATGAGCCCGAATAGAGATTCAAGGGGGAAGCGACGTGGGATTGCTACGTAGGTGGTCAGCTCTTTGTTAGATGCCTTCTGCTGGTGGACCAGCGAGCCAGTCAGTCTCACGCCTGCTCCAGGGAAAGCATTTTGCTGGGGGCTGTGATGGATAACACTAAAGAGCGATAATACTAAAGTTGCCCTGTAAGAGCTTTGGATCTAGGGAGTGTGTTCAAAGAAACACTTGTAGATCTTGGGGATGGACTGCAGGAGATGTTCTAGCCTCGAACCAAACCAGGTTTGGCTCTAGCTGTGTGACCTGTGACATTGCTCATTTTGTCTACACCTCGGTTTGCTTGTCAGGGAGATGATCTCAGATTCCTTCTACCTCTGGCTTTATGATGTAGGGAAGGGGACGCATGAATACTGCCCATTCATAGTCTCCTGGGCCTCTGACAACATCTTCGATCTGAGTTATTAAAATTTTAGAGCTGCTTGTTCGCAGCGTTCTGAAGCAACGCTGTTGAAGTTGGTGGCAGCTGCATGGCACAGCTGTGCCCTGCGGGTGCTTCTCTGTGGTCATGGGGCAGACCAGGAGGGCCACGGGCACACGGAACCAGAGGCCGGAGGCTGTCTGGAGACGTTCATTGTTCATGATCAGAAATAATATGTTCTTAAATTGTGATAAAAAGAAGATATAATTTTTGTCTCCTGTACTTACAATTTATAATTTATGATTTTAAAATACCGTGAAAAGTTGATTAGGCACCTTAGAAATTAAAGAAGGCAGACAAGGCAACTAATATTTTTGCAACATTTTGATCATATAGAGCTTTGTGCTTAGGATTTTCTCTGGCGTCCAGCACTGATACAGTCTACGTGAATTCCTCGCGGACCCAGCACAGGCCAGAGTCGCATTCCTAGGTGGGAAAGTACAGAGTTGATGGAATAGGCACTGGGGTCATTCATGGGAGCTGCAGACAGTGGAGGAGGGGCGTCAATATTTGTGAATCTGTTATCGCAGCCCCAAGCATTTATTTGTGTGACTGGAGCTTATTTAATTATTTGGGCTTCAGGTTCTTGATCTGTAAGATGGGGGTAATTATGCATTTATATCAAAGGTTGTTTTAATACATATTCTTGTCACAGTGACTGACACATAGGACGTCTTAGTAATGATAATAATATTGGTTATTGTTGGTGGCACTACCACATGTGCTTTGTCATCTCACTTAATTGACACTCTAGCTTAGTAAGTAGGCATCGTTGAGACTCAGTTTCCATCATGTGACATAAGAGAACAGTCCCCCTCCATCTGCCAACAGTCCCACAGGGTGACGAGGCAGGGAGGGAGAGCAAGCCTGGTCTCACTGACCCCCAGTGCTCCACGAGGGAAACGCTGAAATGTGTTTAGAGAAAGATTTCCCCAGCATACACAAAGTGTCTCTAGAGGGGCAGAAACGCCAGAATCTAGACCAGAGGTGATGAGGTCTCTGCCAGAGTGGTGTAAAAATTAAATTCGAGAATTATGACGACGGTGGGCGCATCGGGATGACTTGGCGAGATTTAGGATGCGGAGGACACCGGAACGGACGTACCTGTGTCTGGCTCCAGGCTCGGCTGCACCTCCACCAGGAGTTCTGGGGAATATGGGCAAGGGAGAGTGTTTGGGAAGATGCGCGGGGGAGACTGGGTGCTTGGTCTGTTGTTTCTTCCTAGCGTTCAACATCCACTCTCTCATTCCAGCCCTTTTCTTCTCACCCTGGCCTCCCCAGGAGGAAGGAGCACTGGGAAGCTTCACCTCGCTGAGCCTTCCCAGTGCGCCCACCTCCACCCCAGGCCTAGATTTAGGTGGGAACTAAACTAGAAGTCTGTCTCCCCTGCCTCCCCCAATCTGATTCCTGGCCATCTCCTCTCTGCCTTCTACGGACCCCGCTCCAGGAGCCTGGCTGCTCTCCCCAGGCCCCTTCCCCTACCCCACTCGTGCTCCTGGGTACCCCCCCCACACACACACACAGTGGTTGTTTCTGCCATGAGAAGAATGTGTCTGTGTTGGGTTTGGCCAGTTGCCTGTATCCCTTGCTGCTCCAAGCTTCCCAGCCCGGCATTCCAAGAGAGGGTCCCTGGCCTTAGGAAGGCCACAGGAATGTCCCCACCCCCCTGCTCTGGCCTAGCCTCCCCTTTTCCAGAGTTTAAGAAAATAAAAGTGAGTGAAAGGTATGTTTCTCTCTCCAAGCCTTGCTGAGGGGGAGGTGCAGGGAGGAGGGGGCAGATTAGGAAGGTTCCCCAGCTGCCCTGCAGCCAGGGGGCTGTGTGTGGGGGGGGG